CATTGTTGTTTGGCAGGCCTGGTCTGGATTTGAACCCACCACCTTAGGTGTATGTGGCTGGCGCCTTAGCTGCTTGAGCCACAGGCGCCGAGCCGGTTTTACTTTTTCTTAAGGACCTTTGGTGGTCCTCCTAAGAGGTTGCCTACTACCTGCAGCATAATCTAGAGGGGCAGCGTGGCGGAGGGATCAATGGTATGAGTTCTGGAGCTAGACGATAGATAGATAATAGAGTTCTGGAGCTAATAGTGAATGCTGAAGCTAGCTAGAGTTGGAGGCTACGTATTTACAAGCTGTGTGCAAGTTACCTGGTCATAGTGCTGCAGAACTCTGGAGAATGAGAGTAATGTCTGCCTGATAGAGTACTTCTGAGGGTCACCAAGTCTCTTAATGTATAGTGCTTAGAGCAGGGCCTGCACACAGCAAACAGTCAGTACTTCTATGCTGTCCATTTTGAGACCTTGACAATGAGGACATGCACATATAGACCTGGCTCTTGTCAAGTGTTTGTGGAAAGTGAAATCAGTGGGGAGATGTGTGTATTCCTATATAAAGACTCAGCTTCCTCTGTTCAGCGTAGCATTATTTACATGAGCCTAGACTATAAATAACTTTTCTGTAATTTTCTGTTTTTAGAAAATCACTACCAAGAATGCTTTTGGTTTGCACTTGATTGATTTTATGTCAGAGATTCTTAAACAGAAAGACACAGAACCAACCAACTTTAAAGTAAGAAGGATATCTACTTCTCTCTTGCATGTGAATTGAATAATGATTATTTCTAATATTTACTGTAACATAATTCTGAAAATACATAAGAGTTTTCCTCATGTAGATACTATATTAGCTACTGTATCTTTCCTAAACTGGTGAAGTGCAGAGAAAATAATATGTTCTGTTTATTTCCTAGCAGTCTGAGGGGGATCTTTGTCATTGTTCCCTTGGGGCGTGTAAATAGTTTCTAATGTTTTCTGTGTTTTGCCTGTTCAGAAGTTACTTTCTGTGCATCTTCCTGAGTACACCTCTACTTGTTTGATTAGGTAGCTGCTGGTACTCTGGATGCTAGCACCAAGATCTATGCAGTGCGTGTGGATGCTGTCCATGCTGATGTATACAGAGTCCTTGGAGGGCTAGGCAAAGATGCACCATCTTCAGAAGAAGTAGAGGGCTGTGGTGCAGGTATGTGGATAGAATGTGGATTTAAGGGGCTTTTTAAAGAATATACCAGGTAGTTATTTCAATGATATATTGGAATGAGGACGCAAAAAATCAATTATCATATTTTGCCATAAATAATGTACACCCACATTTTTGGCCTAAACTTTCAGGGAAAAAAGTAATTTGTTTTAATTTTTAATTTAAATTTTTATTTGTATTTAGGCACTTGTTTTTGTATTATAAAGGAATTTTGTAAAAGTATCAGCTAGATTGCTAGTTCCTCCCTAAAGTGTATAAAAAGAAATACATTGTTCTTTCTCTTTGGCCAAAAATGCTTTCGTTCTAAGTTTCTTATAAGTTCAGTAAAACCAATTACTGTATTTGGGGTATTATTTTATATACTGATATGGTTATTGCTTTCTAGAGTTAGATTTTTAATGCATAAGCATAAATAATTTATAACATTTGTATAGATATGGAATTGGTACTACCCATGTATAATGTGCATCCTTATTTTGCCTCAAAAATTTGGGCAAAAAAGTACTCATTATACATGGCAAAATATGGTGTCTCATTTTATTGAAGACATGGTGTTATTAGAATCGTGTCTTACATGAGAAGATACTCAAACACTCAAGTTATTTTCAACAAAGGAAGGGCCTCATAAATACTTTTAGATTTTATTTAGGCAAGTTTGAGTAAATGTCACCATGAGCTGCTGATTTGGGGGGTTTTGGAAATGAAATTATTTTAGAAGTCAAATCTAATTTGATTTCTCCATAAGCTGATTACTTAATGTCTATTGCTTTGAGAGAATTGCACACATTTAAATTATGATGACCCTTTGAAGCGTTTGAATTAGTAAGTTCAGGCACATGCTTCAAAGCAACCCTAATAGTATGCAATCTTATTTCTCTTTTTAGATGGAAGTGCTACTGAAACAGGAACAACCAAAAAGGCTCCAAAGCCAAAGAAGAAGCATTTATACAAAACCATTGAGCAGAATATAAACAACCTCAATGTCTCTGAAGCAGATCGAAAATGTGAGGTGAGGAACTAGGTGCACAATATGGTCTCTGACTAATTACAAAGCTCAGTAGCTGAAACTTGGCAGGGCCTAAGAATGTGCTTATTTGCTGGTATGTGCTTGTTTAAACCTTAAGGAAGTAAAATATTCCACTGGTGTCTCTGCATTGTCACTCCTTAGCTTTATAATGAAGACTGAAATTAAGTCCCTCAATATTGTACAATGATTGAATAGAAAGAAATCTCAAATTACTGAGAAATTTAACTGATAAAGAAACTTATTTCCTAGTAAATGTAGCAGTAGAGATACTAGCTAATATTTGTTGTACAAATGCTGCATGCCATGATTCCTGAGTCCTTTTACCTGTGTTAATGCATATAATCCTCAAAATATCCTTATGACATTTTGTAGAGAAAAATTAAGGCACAATACTGCCTAGGATGGTACATCTAGGAGTGAGCTAGGATTTGAATTTTAAGAGGGCTGGCTCCAGATTCCTGGCTTTAAATGACCTTACTGTGTAGCAAATCCTAAGGAATCTGCTTAAAAGAAATGTTGCTGTAGGCCTCATTTATAATTAGCACAGCTAACTTAAATAGGTGTTGCTATACTTTTTTTTTTTTTTAATTTTGCTATTAGGGAGTGGTGCCTGTGGCTCAGTGAGTAGGGTGTCAGCCCCATATACCAAGGGTGGTGAGTTCAAACCTAGCTCCGACCAAACTGCAACAACAACAAAAAATAAATAAATAAAGTTTAAAAAATAAATAAATAAATAAATTTTGCTATTAAAAAAATTGTTTCCAGGGTGGACCTGTGGCTCAAAGGAGTAGGGCGCCAGGCCCATATGCTGGAGGTAGTGGGTTCAAACCCAGCCCCGGCCAAAAACAGGAAAAAAAAACTGTTTCCATGAACATTGTTATATTTGTGCTGTTCTGGAAGTATATCTATAAGAGAATTCAGAGAAATGGGATTTTAGTTGCCCTCAAAAAAGATTAACAATAGATGGATTACTGCTGTCTCCCATTAACAATAGACTGGATTACTGCTTTCTCTTACCTTCACAACATTCATAAATTGTAACTAATGTCAAAAGACTGGAATTGATGACCAAGGGAATAAGCATGTGGAGAAAGGACTGAGCTCTGGGCTACCTTGATCTTAGGTAGTCAGAGAACTGAAGAAACATCAAGTAGATAGGAGGAAAACCAAAACAGTAATGTGGTATCCAAATGACAAAGTGTTTCAGGGAGGGGGAATGATCAGCCACGTTAACCAATCCAATCCAATTTTTCTGCCACCATATACTCCTCAGCAACTGTTTATCTTGGGTGGGAAAGAAGTTGGTGGATTATTTGTAATTATCCTACAGTTGTTTTTTTTTTTTTTTTTTTTGAGACAGAGCCTCAAGCTGTCCCCCTGG